TTTTTTTTTTTTTTATTTGTTAGGACATTGCACTTGAGAGCTGCAAATAGGAGATAACTTTGTAGGGGTTTCAAGATTCATAATTGGAATCAATGGAACGTTGATTGTTATTCTGTTTCAGACAAAATAATGAGCATTAGTTGGTTTTAAATTAACTTGTCGGAATTTTGTTTTGTTTTGGTCAGTTGTGCAAATCGTCAGTAATTATACCGTCATTTTTTTTCTTGTTTTCTTGTTTTTTCGATTAGCCGCTTCTGCAATGGCGGCACTAATTTTGGTCTCTTTTGTTCATTTCAAGGCTATCAAACAAAAATAGTGTATACATTTATCCTTTTCGTTCAGCCATTCATTTCACACATTCAGTTGGTTGCTCCAAACAGTCGATAGAGCGTAATTTTTGTGTAGCAGTAGTTGGGGGCAAACGAAATATTTTACTTTTGAAACCATATGCGTAATTTTATTCTAAACTGTTATGAATTAAAGAGGTCAAAGAAAAAAAGAAAAGAGGAAACTGCCAATGTTTTTTATTAGTTTAACGAAATATATAATTTTAAGAATGGTGGCGGTAAAGTTGGTGTTTATAATTCAGAATTCAGCGTATTCTTGTCGCTTTCCAGCATTTTCCACGATCTAACATTCTTGTCTAAAAATTTTATCGTGTTGCTGTTGTCTTCTTTTTGAGTGTAATCTTTAAATTTTTAAGGCTTATATTCAGTTATATTAATGTTGTGCGTATAATTGAATAGATCCTTCACTCGGAAAATGTGTGAATTTGAGTCTGAAGAATTGGAAAATTGTTTGAAAGTTGAAATGAGGTGATGGATGTTTTTTTTTTTTTTTTGCTTTTTTTATTTTACTAGAATTTTGTTTTAACTGAGATTTAATAGGTGATATATAGTTTATTTGAAATATTTGTCTAAAATTTTTAAGAAATCAGCTGACAAGATGTTATGATATTGGTTTTGCAGCTGTATTCTTGAGAGTGCTAAAAATGCACTTGTTAGCATTGATTCTTCCTCAGTGTACAACAAAAATATCTCAGACAGCTTTTACAGCAATATCAAATGTT